CCAGGGCTCGAGCAGAACCCCTTAGATCATGCAAAGCACTTCTCAGAGTCCAGGGCACTCGCACAAGCTCCCCCCACTTTCCCTGGGCTGAGCACCTTCCTCCAGGCCTCTGCCCCTTTGTGTGTTTGCTTTTGCTGGGGATATTTTTATCTCCTCCTTCTGCCTGAAGCATTTGCACACACCCCACCCACCCACATTTCTGCCTGAGGCATTTGCACACACACTTCTGCCTGAGGCGTTTGCACACACCCCATCCACCCACATTTCTGCCTGATGCATTTGCACATACCCCCCCATTTCTGCCTGAGGCATTTGCACACACACTTCTGCCTGAGGCGTTTGCACACACCCCATCCACCCACATTTCTGCCTGAGGCATTTGCACACACCTCACCCACACACATTTCTGCCTGAGGCATTTGCACACACCCCACCCACAAGCATTTCTGCCTGAGGCATTTGCACACACCCCACCCACAAGCATTTCTGCCCGAGGCGTTTGCACACGCCCCAACCACACACAGCTCTCGCATCAGATTCTCAGATTTTTCCAGGGATTGCATCCACACGGCCAGCCTCAGAGCTGGTGTTTCCCATCACAGCTGCAGACCCTTTCTGTCTGTGTTGAAGTTTTGATACTACGCCATAAAGATCTGCAGATGCCAGGAGTTCATTTCCCATCCGGTCAGGGCCAGACCGACTGGCCCAGCCACTGTCCATCCCTCCTATCTCCTGCCTAAGACCAGGTAGGAACTCAGTAAAGTCGGTGAAAGAGATAGAGAAGGCAGGTGATGGCATCCCAGAGAACACATCCTGAGACTTTAGCCACTTTGTCTGTTTCTGTTTCTGTTCTTCCTTATTCTTCTCTTTCCTTCCCCCTTCTATCTCTTGCTCTACGGTACTGCAGATGCTGAAACCTGGGCCCTCTCAATGCTAGACACACACTCTGACATGTCCTGATGCCCCGACCTTCTAAACTCCTAGTGTGACAAAGTCACAAGGGAAATGAATGAAGACAGGTGACGAAGATCATTTGTTCTCTTTTCACCATTTCCTCTTTTTAAGGGTCTCATTATGTGGCCCTGGCTGGCCTGGAATTCATGATGTAGGTCAGACTTGCCTTGAACTTACAGCCATATTCTTGCCCCAGCCTCCAAAGTGCTGAAGTTACAGGTCAGAGCCACCATGATCAGCTCCTCCCTGGACTCCCTTACCAAGAGAATGACCTCACTCTTCTGGCTGGACCACAGCTGCTCTGTCTGCATCGTCTTGTTTTCAGTAATATGTGTTGATGATAACGATTGTAATTCAGATTGCAAAAGATCATGAATGACTGAACAGTATTTTAAACACCCGATCTTAAACGAGAAGTTTTAAAAAAAAGATTCTGCCCAAATCTTAAGCAGTATTTATGATGGTGTCAGTGGTAAAACTGAGAGTATGGGTTACAATTAAGAAAGGAAAATTGTTGGAGAAAGAGAAAAAGTCTCTAGACAGCGAGACCCACCAGACTGTGAAATAGGTTTTCAACTGTGTGATGGAAACACTCCCCGGGACATCCTCGTAGAGATGGGGGTGAGGATGGACTTTGCAAAGAGAGTTCTGCACTGGTGACTGGAGCTGGGGGTCAGGAGATGGGCTGGGGACCAGCTGTGGGCCAAGGAAGCGCGTTAGGAAGGACGGTGGCTGGGGTCCTGGGAGGGGAAAAGCAGAAGGCAGCAAGGGAGCAGCAGGCAAAGCTGTGCTGATAGAAGGGGAACATGGGGACACACATAGTGGTATCTAAAGGTGGGCGAGAGAGACCACAGGAACCAGTTGGTGGCTGTGGCAAATGTGCCTGGGTGGGCAAACTACCTAAAGGGGGGCTGCATGATCAGGAGGACTTCAGTGACTGCTGGTGTTATGGAAAGAGAGGGTGAAGTGTGACTCCTGAGCACCAGTTACTGTCCCTAACTGTCCCTTTCCTCAGTGGAGTGGTGAAACCGGACAGAGAGAATTTCTTCCGCTAAATCTAGCCTTGGAAGAGAATGGATATTCTCAACATTTGTAGAATGAAGGAAAGAAGGATGGATAACACCTACAAGGCTGTGATAGCTGGGAGGGGGAGAAGGAAGGGGGGAAGGAGAGGGAGGGAAGGAGGGATTGGTGGAGTGTAGATGGAAGTTTCTGTCTTGCCTGGTCCCACAGCTGTTCAGTTCCAAAGAAACACACAGAGGCTTATATTAATTATAAACTGGCTGTCCTATTAGCTCGGGCTTATTATTAACTAGCTCTTACAACTTAAATTAACCTATAATTCTTATCTATGTTTAGCCATGTGACTTTGTACCTTACTCAGTGAGGCATTCTCATCTTACTTCCTCTGCATCTGGTTGGTGACTGCAAACTGAGCCTTTCCTCTTCCCAGAATTCTCCTATTCTGGTCTCCCTGCCTAAATTGGCTACTGGACAATCAACATTTTATTGAATCAACACAAGTGACAAATCTTTACATGGGACAAGCATTATCCCTCAGCAGTGGAGGAAGAGAGGAAGAGGAGAGGAAATGAAGAGAGGAAGGGAAGCGGAGAGAAAGGCCAGGCACTGTAGACCTGGTCCAGTCTCCAAGGGTGCACTCCAAGAATCCATTCCCTTCATCCAGCACCCACATCCAATTTTCCACACCTTCCAACAGCCCGTCCAATTATAAGCCAAACCAGAGCCCTCCTCAGTCAGCCACTTCGCCCAGGCCCGGCAGCTGCCCCCCAAGCCTTTAGCATACAGTCTCTTGGGGGGCATTTTAGATGCCAGCCACGCACAGTAGTCAAAGCATAACTGTGAAGACAGGCACTTTACAACAGGTTGTGAGAAATTAGAAGAGACACTCTGGAACCAGGACACTCACAGCAAAAGAGCTTAGAAGAACACAGATTCTTAGTTTCCATACATTCTGTGTAAACAAGTATGTGTACATGCTGATGCTCACTCTCACAAACACAACTATCACAGAACAAAACATGTGTGTGTGTGCGTGCATGTGTGCTCATGTATGTGCATACATGTGGAGGCCAGAGGTTGCTGTCAGGTGTCTTACTCAATAGCTCTTTACCTAATCCTTTCAAACAGGGTTTCTCACTGAATTTGAGGCCCATTGATTTGACTAGACAAGCTAGCTATTGAGCCCCAGGGATCACTCACCTTTGGTCACCCCAGTACTGGGGTTACAGGTACAGATCACCATACCTGGCTCTTATATGATTCAAACTCAGGTCTTCATGCTCAAGCATCACGCACCCTATGGAGCCGTCTCCCCAGCTGCTAAGCCTGCATCTTAAGTAGGATTTGCTTTGAAAGTATTTCTTGTACCCTATTTCATTTTTTTCCCCCAAATGCTAGCTGAGATGTGCTAAATTGGTCACACGGCCTGCTAATGTCAACGGGCCAAAGCCTACAGTGTGAAAAGCATTGACATGGAGGCTGTAATCCAATTACCGCATAACCACAGGCAACACTCAGTGTTTCTTAAAGGAGGGAATTCATGACAGTGGTCTGATCTCCGGACCCCGGAGACGCAGCTTGGTCTCTGCTACTACGGGAGGGGCAGATGACTACAGCTGCTGGGGGCTAAACCTTAGGGTTGAACACTGACCCATCGGGCTTTTCCTCGTCTGTTGTCCCTCTCTGCAACGTGCAGTGTTCTTGTTTTCAGAGTTCCTTCTGGTCCAAATCGCTCAGATAAAAGATAAAACTATTCCAGCCCCTTACTCCCCGCACTGGCAGACACAGAAAACCACTTCACTGTCTTTAAGTCCCAGCAGGCCATTAATCTGCTTCTTTCTCCCCTTCTTAGCAGGTTTAGGATGGGCCTCTGCCATTCCTTTCTTTCTCAGTGCACTGGCCAAAGTCCATCTTCCTCCTCCCACTGATGCTCAGGATATCAGTAATGTGTCTTTTTTCTTGTCCTTAGTGGACATGGCCAGCACTCACAGGGATTCTTCATCTCTTCCCCGAGAGCCTGAAAATCCACCTATGGCTAGTCACACCTCATCTGTCTGACAGCACGTGCCACCAAGACCAGGACCCTGGGACATTCCTTTCCAATCCTGGCCTCCTCTCCTGTTTCTGAAACTTTTCGCAATAGGTTTTAATTAGGGGGTCCTGCAGGCATGAATAATTTAATAATCCATTTGATTTTATTTCATTTTACTTGTGTGTGCGTGGATCTTTGTGTGCACAGGCATAGGTGTACATATGTGTGTGGGGGGGCAAAGTGTCATTCTGTCATTGAGGGTCATTGAATGTGTCATTGAGAGTTGTTTCCTAGATATCATCCACCGCTTTTCAGGGAAGGGTCTCTCCCTGCACCATGAAGCTTAAAGTAAGTAGAGGCTGGAGACCAGCAAGCCCCAGGGATCCCCCTGTCTCTGCCTTTCCCCTGTTGGGATTCCCAGAGTATGCTACTATGTCTGATTTTTGTATGTGAGCTTGGGGATCTAATTCAGGCTCTCATGTTTGTACAGACCAAACCATCTCCCCTGCCCTGTCTTTTATTTTTTTATAAAACAAAATAAAACAATCTTTGCAAGCCTTGGGGAGCAGTGCTGATTGCTGTATGGTCTCAGCGGGGAGATGGCCATCTTGTGCAGAGAGTGCTGTGGGAGGGGAGGGGCGTGCCCAAAAGAATAAGAGTTCGGAGAGAGTGCACTAGGTTTTAGTCCCAGGCTGACATTTTCCTGCTTAGGGTCTCTTAGTCTCTCCAATCCTAAGTTTCTCCACCAACAAAGTAAGGCTAGCACTATTTACTTCAGCAAACTAACAGTTTCACCCTCAGCGAGCGACTGGGGATGCTGACAAGGCAAGGTACCAGCCAGGTTGCTGGGGTGGGGGTGGGGAGTCTAAACGAGTGGTCTGTACACCAATCTCCTGGACAGTAATACACGTGGGTGTGTGAGGGGGCTCCTCTCTACAACACCAAGATTCCCATGTGAACTGACAGACACCAGTGTTTGAGAGACACCCACCTGCATGCACCCTGCAGAGTCTCAAAGTTTCCAGTACACCCAGAACAGTCCACAGCAACCTGAAAAGACTCAAAGGTAATTAATTTATTTGGACTTGACCTTGAGTTTCAACAGCCAGAGAACTGGAAATGGGGAGAGTGGTGTCGAGTATTAATCTCATGTGTGTCCCCAGCAGCGGCAGCTCTGCTCTCTGGCCAGAGCCTTCACTTGAGACCACAATTCCAGAGTGGCCATGGGCATCCTTTCTCCGTCAGTAGAGGAGTGCGCTATAAAACCAGGAGGCTTTACACGCTTCTCAGCTAAAAGCTGAACATGCAAACTGACTTTTAAAACATGAACTTTTACTTTCTTTTTTTATATTTTAGCCTTAAGTGCATCATGCAGCTCATGTGTGATAGTTTTAGAATACAGCCTCTCCTTTCTGTTACCAAACCACCTTATGTTATCGAATCTTTGGCACCAGTATCACGTTGTTTATCTCTTCATTCCCTTCATATGTGTCCCTGTCCATGGACACCCATTCTATGGCTGTCCCCATAGAGGGACACCAATGGGCTTATTGAGTTGCCAAGGGACTACGGCTTCTGAAGCTGGAGAAGTCCAGAAGGAGAAATGTCCCTTACCTAATAACACGAAAGAGTTAGATAACCCCACCACAGGGTCCTGGCTTGTCTGATCTATGAGGGGGCTGAAGCCACAGAACAACTAACTTCCTGAAACACTAGGGAGCTGGGGTACCTCCTAGAAATACTCCTGAGCCCAGTTTACCTGTGAGAGAGGAGCCACAGCTGCCATGGAAATGTCGGTAATTAGGGTTCTAAATGCCTTCCAAAGGCTGAACGTGAGAAGCCCAGACACCTGGGCACAGAGGCCTTTGCATAATCCAAGCATAGCCTCATCTACAGACCTCCTGAGCGCCAGGAAAGAGTTAGTATGTGGAGAACCAAGGACCTCCCCTTGGATGGCAGACTCAGAGGAGGCGGCAGCCCCCACTGTGGGGAAGGAGGAAGTCTCTGGCTTAGCTCTATTCTGCCCCACTCCTCCTATGGACAGAAGACATGGTGACTTAGGGAAGACTAGCAAAGAAGACTCATCTGGACCAAAGAGAAAAGACAAGATCTACACTTATGAGGAGGGAGGGTTCCCTCACACGCTCGTATCATTAGACATCGCCTCTCGTTGTGCCCAGCTGTCACAGATGTGCTCAACTCCGTGGGAGAGTATGCTTGCCACAGGGAGGGGCCCAGCATCCTTTAAATAGTCTGTTACTGCAGCCCAGTGAGTGACACGGCCCTCGGGAAGGGAAAGATGAGCTGAGAGGACAGGGAGCCTCACTCAGCAAGCAACAGTCAAGGCACATGTCACAGCAAGCCACCACTGGGAAGGGGCGTGACCACCAGGAAGGACAGAGCACACAGGAAACTTTGGCAAGGGTGGAACAGGAATAGGGGGGGGGGACCGCACAGCCCAAGACTGTCCTTGATGCACACACAGCCTTGCTAGAATAGTATCTGCAGTGCCTTGGCAGAAACCTTAGCAATAATCCCAGGTGCATTCCTCACTGGCTAACAGGCCCCCACCTCTCCCAGCACAAGAAGTCATGACCCCGATTCCAGACACAAATACTGCTTCTTTCAGCTTCTGGGTGTAAATGATGTTTGGATTTCAAATAAAAGTTACAGGATACTCACACATGCACACCACACACCTACACATGCACACACTCATACACCTATAGACATACAATATAAACACACCACACATGCATACATGCCGCACACACGCAGAGGAAAACAACCTGCTATGGAGAGGCAAGTCAATCAGCAGTCATGGCAGAAATGAGCCAAGGAAACTATCACACAGGATTAAATACTGATGATTAAGTGGTTCCCAGCAAGGCTAGGGCGTTGTGTGAGGGTGTGTGGTTCAAATCAATAGCAGTTGTAGAAGACACAGGGTGGAAATTCCAGACGTAAATACAGGAACAGCAATGAAGAATGCCTTCAATGGGCTCATCAATAAAATTGACCTACATAAGGAAATTGTCTGAGTGTTTCAAAGTAGGCTAATAGAAAAATGCCACATAACTAAACATATTTGCTCAGATAATAAAAATATCCAAGACCTGCAGGGCAGTACTGAGCATCCCAAATCTCAGAGGAGAGAAAAGATGTATTTGAAGAGATAACGGCTGATATTTTCCCAAATGAAATGAAACCTACAAAATATCAATCTTAAGCCCTTATAGAAGGGCTGGTGATGCCTCATTTGGGAGCACTTGCTGCTCTTGCAGAGGACCAGAGTTCTGGTCTCAGTTCCTGCATCGGGTGTCTCACAACCTCCTGTACCTCTAGCTTCAGGGAGTCCAGTGCCCTCTTTGCCTTCTGTGGACAACTGCATGCATGTGCAAATACCCCCATATATATAATATATATAATATTTAAAAACATGCCTACAAAAAGCAAGCACTATAAATAAAACACATAGACAGACAGAGAGAGAGAGAGAGAGAGAGAGAGAGAGAGAGAGAGAGAGACCTGGCTTAGTCATATTCAAATTACTGAAAATAAAACGTGAAGAAACAATTCTTGAAGGCAATCAAAGGAAACGAGAGCCTATGACACACAAAGAGAGGAAAAGACAAGGATTCCAGCAAACGTCTTGTGGAGAATTTTACACAACAGACGGCGGTGGAGTGGGATTTTTAAAGATCTGAGAGGAAAACATGTCATTGTGGAAATATGTGCTGGTAAAAGCAGAGAAGCAATCAAGATATATTCAGGAAAAACACTGGAAAGAATTCATTAGCAGCACACCTGCTCTCTGAGAACCATGAGGCGTATTTCATTGAGAGGAGAGAAAGCCAGGCGAGAGCTGCGATCCGCACAAAGGAATGCAGAGATGACATGACAGAAATGCACAGTTATCTCTGCCCATCGTGACTGCCGCAGGAAATAATTGACTACTATAAGTAAAAATTGTGGTTCTGTGTGTGCGCGTGCACTTGTGCACGCATGCGTGTGCAGTTTCATGCAAGCTGAATGTGCATGTCTGTACAAATACCTGCAGAGACCCTAGTGGGAGTCAGATCCCCAGGAGCTGAAGTTCCTGTGGTTGGAGTCACCTGGTTGGGGTGCTGGGAACTGAACTCCAGTCCTCTGTAAGAGCAGCAAAAGCTCTTCACCCCTGAGCCATGTCTCCAGTCGCTGGGGTAACGTATTCCAGGCTGACAGAGTGTGTAGAAGAATATGCCCAGCAGTAACAACAGCAAGAGCAAGAGCAAGAGCAAGAGCAAGAGCAAGAGCAAGAGGAGATGGAGTTAAAGCCATACATCTGCGGTGTGGGGTTGCAGCTTCTTAGCCATCACAGATGCTGGGCATCTTCCCATGTGCTTGTCAGCGTCTCTAGGAAAATGTCCATTCAACCCTTTCGCCCATTCCCACTGGGTCAGTTATTCTTAACGTTGATAAATTAGAAAATCCTTATCAAATGTCATTTGCAAATATTTTTCTTCCTTTCATGGGTGGCCATTTCATTTTCCCAGTGGCATTCTTGATTTTGGTAAGTAACAGTTATTCATTGTTTTCTCTTCATATAATCTACACTGGATGTCTGTGCTGGTTAGCTTTTTTTTTTTTTTTTTTTTTTGTCATCTTGACGCACACTAGGGTCATCTGGAAGAGGAGCTTTACTTAAGAAATGAGCTCCCTTAGATTAGTCTGTAGGCAAGTCTCTGGGGACATCTTCTTGACTGATGGTTGGTATGGGTGATGCCATCCTTAGGCAGGTGGTCCTGGGTCATCTAGGAAAGCAAGCTGAGCAAGCCATGAGGAGCAAGTGAACACACAGCATTCTTCCACGGTCACATCTTCAGTTCTTGTCTCTGTGTTCCTGCCCTGTTGGAGTTTTTTTTCCTCTCTCTGGATTCTCTCAATGATAGACTGTGATTATGATGTGTAAGCCAAATAAAGTCGTTTATTCCTAAATTGCTTTTGCTTGTTGCTTTATCATTGCAATAGGAAGCTAAGTAGAACAATGTCATAGGCAGGAAAATATTATCCCACCCAAAGGTTTAAAGAGTGTATTCATTTATTTCTATGTGGATGTGTGTGTGTGTGTGTGTTTATGGGTTTATGTGCACCACATGTATGCAGGTGCCTGTGGAAGCCAGACGAAGGTATCAGATTCCCTGAAATTAGAGTTACAGGAGGTTGTGGGTCACCCAATGTGGGTGCTGGGGACCAAATCCAGGTCTTCTGCAAGAGAAGTAAGTGTGCGTGACAGCTGGACCATGTCTCCTACCCCAACGCTAAGGATTATTCTTCTGTGCTCCTCTCAATAGCCTACGGTTAGAGGGGAGTTAGACAGATAACATCTTGAGTGATTGGCAGGCTGTCTTGTGTGACGTTTTTCCTGGGTGCTGACAGCACATACACCCATACATACAGAGAGACACACAGACAGACACACACAGACAGACACACACACACGAAGTCAGACAGACAGACAGACAGACAGACACACACACACACACACACACACACACACACCAACTTACCTTAAATAGGGATGACAGACAGATGACGATAATGATTCTCTCAAAGTTCAATGTGCTGAGCCTCTGAGCTCCGGGGCTGCTTGCAGGAAGAGTAGGGATAACTCAAATGCAGTTGCATCACCAACAAGCCCATCCCAACAGAGAGGGAGGCTCGTGAAAGCTGCCCCCTGCCCGACTCCGAGCCCTCTGCCAGGTATACAGTCAGCTCAAGGGGTCCAGATCTTTTCTCAACAGCTCAGCTGCCCAGCTCCTCGCCCCGCAGCTGTTTACTGACTCTAACCCTGGGGACAGGTCCCGGCAGCTTGAAAGTTTCTGCTTTCCCCTGCGTACGAGTTTCACAAACTTCCCCCCTCCTTCCTGGAAGGCAAGTTTCAGTTTGGAGGAGGTTTTGATACAATGCATGCCAATCTGCAGAAGTTGGCCGGTGTGATCCACAGCAAAACCAGACAGACACGGATGAAGGGAGAGGCTCCAGGCTTCCACGCTGCGTTCAGTTTCCTGTGGGCTCAGCTCACCTGTTGGTGCTTTTAGCCGAGGCAGCGTCTAGGTGCGTGCTTCAGCCTCGGAGTCTCAGCTGGGTGTTCACGTGCCCAGGACAAACTGTGTTTACAGTTATTTGTATGGCCCACATCCAGCTCACTTGTACTTTTTGGCAAACCCTTGTGTCTGTTCTCATAAAGGACCTGAGTTTATAGCTTTTCAGGGCTGGCTTTGTTTGTTCTGTTATTGGGATGCTTTGGACTCATGGGATGGCTTGGGGAGCCTTCCTTCATCATGCAAACTTTGTAAGCAATTGAGGAGGCTTGCATGGCTTCTTTTTTTAAACATTTGTTAGAGTTAATCAGGAGATAGCTGGAATCCATCTTTCCTCCACGGGAATTATTTATTTAAGAATATTTTTAGTTTATAGTTCTATAATGTTACTCGTTCTAGCTCTATTTAGACTTCTATTCTTCCTCCTCCTCCTCCTCCTCCTCCTCCTCCTCCTCTTCATATGTGGGTGGGATGGCTAATTCTAGTCACCAACATGACACACCTGGGGAAAGGGAACCTCAACTGAGCAACTGCCACCATCAGATTGACCTGTGTGTGTGCCTGTGATGGCAATTTCTTGATTGCTGATTAATGCAGGAGAGCCCAGCCCAGGGTGGACAGTATCATCCTTACATGGGCCTGGGTTATGGAAGGGGGTTTGCAGAAGCTGGCGTGTATTTACAGCTGTTGAAGATATTTAAATATGACCCTTGAGAAGCCTGTGTCCACGTGTGGATGTGCACGGTCCGTTAACACCTGTGCTGAAATTTATGTTGCAATGTCTTCTTGATAAACTCCAGTTCTGCTTCCTATGGGCTCGTCTTGACTTCATCTGAGTGGAGGTTTCTGAGCAGAGCTCCTTAGGCTGCTACAGCCAATAGCAGGGAGCTGTGTCTCCCCCTTCCATGCCAAATGGCACTGTGACAAACACAAGCAACTCTTTGGGAATACTGTCAGTAGACAAGGAGAGTAAGAACTTCTGAAACCCACCCAATTAACAAGAACCTCCCCCAAAACATCTAGAATCAAAAGCAACAGCTTGAACAGTATTCATTCAAGAGAAATGACCAACTCTAAAAACAGTGGGTGGGGGCTGGATAGAATGCTTGAGGTTAAAAGCACTCATTGCTCTTGCCGAGGACCTGAACTGGGTTCTCAGCACCACAGAGAGAGTCACAACTGCCTATAGCTCCACTTTCAGGGAATCCAGGGCCCTCTCTTGGCTTCCTTGGTCACTAGGCACACATGTGATACACAAATGTACATGTAGACAAACACACGCACATAAAATAAAATAAACAAATAAAATTAAAAGTCAGTTTTGTAATGGCGTGTTTGTCCCTTTCTTAGAACCATCTCCACAGCTCAATGGAACACAACTGTGAAGCCGGCCAGAGTGGGCAGCAATGGTTTCCATCCTATCTAATGCTTGGCTCTATGGGTACTCAGAAAATAATACTAAAGAAACAGTTTATGTCTTCTGAACTTGGAGGATGCATGGTTTCCCTGACCTGGAGAGCTGCAACAGTGGTCCCTTCTTATCCCGAACAGCTCAGTGCTGGGTTTGGCTCATGCCAAGTGCAGGGTAGAGAGCCACTCACTCTGTCTCCATGCAGACGAATAGCTCCCTGGTGCCTGCCCAGCGGCTTACACACCAACCGTAAGGGATGATTCCTACAAACAAGAGTGGACTGTGCCTGAATTACACTCCAAGGCTTTGTCACAAAGAGCTGCCAGCAGTCAGTTCTGAGTGGGACTTTCTTAGGCTCCTGGTCAGGAAAAGTGATTTCAAGAATTATTGATTTTGTCTACAATATCTACTTCAATATTGATTTAGCTCACTTTCCTAGATCTCTGAGCTACACATTTACATCCACAATCAATTTAACAATGAGACTGAAACCTTTTAGAAGCCCGAAATGCATTCCAAATAAAAGACCTAAAGCAACAATGAAGGAAAACTTTGCCCTCCAAGGCAGTTTACTGTGTTAGATTCTTTGGGAACTGTGGAACGATTCACTCTCTTGTTTATGAATATTTGTTGAGAACAAAGTCTGCTCCAGGCCTAGTGCAAAATGCCTGGGCTATAATAGCAATTAAGGTAAGCTTGGCTGCCTTTCCTCTTGGGAAGAACTCAAAACCAAAAGGACAGAGATCTAGGCCACCAGAATTGCCTCCCTCAGCCTTTCTGGATAAGCAGATACACACAGCAATCTCTGTTCACCTGCACCAGACGTGACTGTGGCCGTGGATTTGGTTAGCTCACTGTTCACCTGCACCAGACGTGACTGTGACCATGGATTTGGTTAGCTCACTGTTCACCTGCACCAGATGTGGCCATGGCCATGGATTTGGTTAGCTCACTATTCCCACATGCCTCCTTCAGTGCAGCGCTCATGGTGTGTCCCCCACTTCTTACTCACCCACCTGGGTGTTTCTGGACAAACAGTCCCACTCTCCTCAAAACCAGCTCAGCTTTGAATCATCAGTCATTCTTCCCATGATTCTAGGAGGGTTGGCACCATCATTTTCAGTCTTAACTGATTTGTTTTAATGACTGGTTTTACAGTCCTATTAGACTATAAGGTTTTTAATGTGAAAGAAATGTCTTCAACCGGCCCAGCACTTAAACAAATAGCAATTGCGTGAAATCAAGTGCAATAGCATCCAATGTAAAATATGTGGCCATAACAATTAGAGGCCATCTGTTAAGCTGGCATCTTGCTGTAAAGGAATGAAATTTCAATTAAGTTTTAATATGGGAAAGTGTAAGTGACAGACCCCATATGAAAGTGCACAGCCAGTGAACTGTGCAGTAGAGGAGGGGCTGTTGCACGGTTGATGGGTTGGATAGAGTCCCCTGATGGCAGGCTTCATAGAGAGCATGCCCGTCCGCCAGCACTTGGCTGCACGTACTGTTGGCGAGAACGGAGGCTTTGGAAGCGATGCCCATATGGAAGGTAAATCGGAATGGTTGTGTGGCACAGTCTAGAGTCATGTGGTTAGCGTGTGATTTGCCACTTCCGCTGGAGGCAGAAGGAAATCATGCCTGAGATAAAAGGATGGCTTGGGCTTGCCTCACGCGCAGGCGCCAGTTTGCATCCTCAGAGCCCATGGAAAAAGCTACCTGCAGCATTGCTTCTCTGTGATCCAAGCAGAGATAAGATGGAGGGGAGGAAGATCCTTGGAATCTCCTGGGTCAGAGAGCTGAGCCAACAGGGCACAGCTCCAGGCCAATGAGGAGCGTGTCTCAAAGCAAACAGACAAAAAAGGTAGAATGCACCTCTGACCTTTGTGTGGGTTCTTGCAGATATTCTCATGTGCAATGCATGTGCGCGTGCGAACACATCACACACACACACACACACACACACACACCACGAGGGATGATTTGGAAACAAAGAAATGAAAGTCATACGTCAGCATTCCCTAAGAGCTGTTTGATTGCCTGGAAGCTGCACAGCCGTGGCCCGTGGACCACTTCTCAGTCCTGGGGCCTGATGCCATGGCCCACCAGTGGTTCACCTGTGGCCTTGAGCAGACCCACCAGGGAGAGTGTCTAATGCTACAAAGTCCCAGGACAGGCACCTGAACTACTACTAGTGGGAACATCTGGGCTTATAGAGTTGTTGGCTGTGTGGTAATGGATTGGACAAGGCCCTTGTTTCTGAATTGTTACTGTTGTATCTATTATGGCCAGGGCTTGTAAGAAAGAAGGAGGACACCCAAATTCTAACTCCTCAAGTAGTAGCCCAGGGAGCTGTCAAAATGAAGCTTAGTTCTCTTCCCCATAACACAAGTTAAAAATAATCTAAAGCTGCTTCTCTTTCAAGTACTTCTGAAAAAAAGCCATGTAATTAAATAGAGCCCTCATACATCATAAGAGGCTCGGTCTGCAGCTGTGGACCTCAGGGAATTCTTTAAACTCGTCCAGGATTTTTGCTGACTAATGTCTGTGTGGGCTAACAGCCAGAACCCAGCACTGGGCACAATTTGCCAGAAGCATCTGTAGCTGGGTGAGGTGTCCCGCTGGGGATTGCCTTCCCAAAGGAAATTCTCCAACGTGGCCTTAACGATTGGTCACATCTTCCAGCTTTCAATGAAAAGGGATTCTTGTCTTTTCTTTCTCTTCCCCTCCTTCTTCCCTCTTCTCCATCCTTTCTTCCTCTCTCTTCTGTTTCTTTTCTACCTCTTTTTCTTCTTGCTTTCCCTCCCCCACTGTGTGTGTGTGCATGTTTGCATGTACCATGTGTATTTGTATGTATGAACACCGGTACACATGTGTGTGTGTGTGCCTATGCTTCTATTTCTTTTCATCTTCTTCACTGATTGAGACAGGCTCTCTCACCGAACCTGGAGCTTGTTGATTAGGCTAGGCTGGGTGCCTGGCAAGACCCAGGGGTCCTCCTGTCTCTCCTCCCACTGCTAGAATAGCAGGTGCCCACCATCTTGCCTGGCTTCTAGATGGGTGCTGGGAATTGAACTTAGGTCCGATTGCTTGCTGACAAATCCAAGCCTGACTGAGCCATCTTCCTAGTCTCTGGTATTACCATTTAAAAAAGAATCAGTTGACCACAATACTAACAAAAAGAAGGCCTTTTCTGATATGTACAATGAAGTTGGAGGGTAGAGTAAAGGCACACTCCTTCAGGGTTGACTAGAAAACGCTGTGTGGAGTCTCTCCTGGTAAGAAAAAGACTAGTTCTAGAATGCACTGGAACACAGACGCACGTCAACACAGCAGATGAACTGTGCCTTAATTTCTAGTGATTTCATAATGGAGGAGAAACGTACAAACAGGGACACACACACTCAGTTCTGCAGTCTGCAGTCAGTCTTTTCTGACAATTGGTACCCCGTGAGTTCCCACCTCTGTCAGCACATGGAGAATTCCCCAAATCCAAGAGTGTCCATGTCCCTTTTCCCATCAGCCCATCTGCTCCCCATCCTCCCAGGCAGCCACTAATCCTATCCAGGCCTAAAGAGTCATTCAGCTCTCTGCAGAGCGAAGTAAATGGAACCTTTTCGCGTGCGG